GCGCGCCGGCCCGCGCAGCTCCTCGTCGGAGCGGGCAGGCGGGGAGAGGCCCCCCCTGGGACCCCTCCCGGGATTGCCCTGCGCACCCGCAGAGCGGGGCGATGCTTCGCCGGGGAAGTGCCCGGTGTGACAAGCTCCGGACTTGGCGGGGGGGACACGTGTGTGTGTGTTAAATCCGGCCGTGCCAGGGCAGGCAGGACCCCCAGCCCGGTACCGGGCAGATCTTGGAACAGAAACTGCCAGAAACTTTTGCAGCAACTGGGCAGCGCTGCAGGACTGCCCCGTTAGGAGCAGGGTGCCGGGAAGGACTCCTCGGGTTTCCTTGCTGCCACTCTCACCGCCACATAAACGCTCCACGGAGGAGACATCTCTGTGCATTCGGTGGCAGAGGTATGCAGCAACAGTCTCTGGATTAAGTAGGAGTCATTAAATGGGAGGTGGCAAGGCTTGTTAACTACGGTGGTAAAGGGAATCTCTTTTGTATTCGTGCTCGGCCCTCACGCAGCTAGGCATCCTGCACAGGTCGTCTAACCCGACCGCGGCCCCTTGGCTTGGCTTTCAGGAGTCCTGTTTGTGATAAAGACTTCCCTGAGTACAGGGGCTTTGCTTAGTGTTGACAGAAGGTCTCTCATGACTGTGCTGGATACAGCGGTCTTGCATTTATTCATTGTGCACTCTTCTGTGACTCACTCTGGTTTTGGAGGCAGGGAGAGAATATTCCCCCCATCCTTGTGCCTGTTTACTGGTGTGACCTGTTCATACAGTGTGAACTCCTGCAAGAGCAGGATTATGTCAGTAAATTGCTGAACATCTACCTGATGGGAATGGCTTTTAATCAGGCTACATTACGGAGGTGACATAAGCATGTTTCGCCTAATATTCTCGCTTATTTGAGTGTTGATGGTACCTCGGAAAAATATCCCTCACTCCAGTTTTTAGATAGATTTGTCAAGTCAATAACAGAGAGCAGCACAGTAAAATACGCCCATCACCTGAGTGTGTCTCCAGGCAGGCGGCTGTGTCAGAGGCATTGCACTCTTCCTGATGCATCACCCAAAGCGAATAGGAAGCCAGGCAGACAAAGCCAGACCATCATCTTCCTTGTGGGGCTCCAAGGAATGCAAATTTAATGAGGCTCCTGACGTAAAATTGCATTCCACCAGCTTTGCACATTTCTGCCAGTGATGGAGGTTTCTGCAGAGAAGGTGATGGTGAGGGGTTAGCAATTTTGTTGAAAACTGCAAGTGTACAGTAAAGGGAAAAATTGCTTTTTCGAAGTTTGCCGGTGGTGCGAGCGGAGCCCACGCTGATGTGAGGGACAGCGCTCAATCAATCACGCAGCAGAGCCCAGCAAACTGCGGGGCGTTATCAGTCAGCGCTGCGTACGAGCACTCAGACAATAACACGATTCTCCTCGGCCGCGTTTCCGACAGCCCTCTGGGCACAGGCAGGGACGCACGTGGGAGCCCATCACTGGCCCCCCACTCCCCTCTTCACACAAGCGTGCAGCGCACCCAGGCCTGCGATGCACACAGGGGCAGGCAGACACAAAGTGATGCTGACACACCTGCTCATGGGCGAACCGTACCCATCTCCTCTCCGCATGCAAAAGTACATCAACTTGACAGCTTTAGCTTTCAGAACTTGCACATGATTTTCCGACAGTGTAAACACACGACATCTTCCTTTGCCACACACACGCCACAGAGCTTCGCTAGCCCTTAGCTGAACTGGAAGTTTCTCTTGCTGTGTTAGCACTTACAGTATAAACACGAAGAACATGCCTTTTCCTGTCAATACAGACTATTCAGACTGCCACACTCATCTGTTAAATATCACTCCCTGAACACTCAGGGGTCTGCACAGCACTCGAAAAGCCCCGTGAAGGAATACTCACCTGGATGGGAAGGGGTGACTGGGGGGGTTTACAGTGCTGCTCTATGGAAACTTCTGTGATTTCAGTCTCTTTTCATTCTGCTTTGGAAGGTCGTAACATTTCAAATATTTGGGGATGGCAGGGTCAGGATGGCACACAGTGGTAATTTTCATACCTGGCTTAACATTTCCTTCCGTGCCCTTCTGTGCTCAGAGAGCATCAGCCTTTGACTGCTATGATTTCCCTCCGTCAGGCCTCACAGAAGTGTTCAACAAAACAGCATGTGTTGCCAAAATGAATAAATAGCTCATTACTAGTTTAAATCAGCAACACTGAACATGGTTTACTCAGACGCAGGTTAGAACTGTCTACGTAAGCAGCACTATCCATGCACGTAAACACAAACCGTATCAAACGGCACCACCATTACTTGCACATACCTGTACACAAAGGTTTCAGTGCTTTAGTCAGGCTCCGCTAACAATGCAAATGCATCTACAAAGAATTAGCATTATTTATGGCTTTTACTGACCCCAGACTGCACAGGGAAGCAGCGCGCAGACCGAGGTGCTGCGCACTGCTGTTGTCCTCATTAACCACGCAGGTATACAAACACACGCGTGACACCAAGAGACATGAGCACTGTACTGCAGTCTTCCTTCGCAAGCTGTATTCACCAATGCCTGGCCACATGCACAGAGGCACACCGTCACAAGCAGGCAGGGAAAGGATTGCTACTGCACCTAAAGCCATGCCTGGCTAAAGGATGGAGTGGGAAGCCAAAGGAAAACATCTTCTTTATTCATGCTCTCCGACCTTCTCACAGCCTCAGCACGACTGCCTTCCGCACCAAAATCGGGTATCATCGGCCATTCCGCTTGCTTATATTTATCGCCCCTCTTTGAAATTCTGACTGCTCATCTATGCAGAATAAAACTACCCAAGCAATCTTTCCTGTTCAGGTGCTCATTACTAAAGCATTAAATAATGCCAGGCAGGCTCTCTTAGGCCTTGTAAATTTTATCTGGGGGACTTTCAGCTTCCACAAGGTCTATTACTGCCTGATTGCCTGAAAGGCTTTCAAGTTTGTACCAGACAGCAAGCCCTAGAGCAGCGAGGCTGCGTAACAACTGGGCCCTGAACTTCTATTAAACACCATCACTGGCCTGGGAGCCAGGCTGGGAAGGTGAAATGCATACATGTGAGTGGGTACACACGCAGAGCCTGCCTGCATGTCCCTGGAGTACACACAAGGCTACCGGTGTTGGCGTAAATGAATGCATGTGCTCAGCTGTTAAAGAGAAACGTCTGGATGGAAGGGCGACGCTGTGCATGAGCGAGTGCAGGACTGTGGGTGCACAGAAAAGGTGTGGGCTTATGTCTGTGGGTCTGATCTCAGCTACACAAATGTCAGTGCAGAGACAGTGCTCAGGAGTCCGTGGGGTTTATGGTGAAAGCTGAGAACAGAATCAGGCTCTGGGAGCTCAGACCTTTCCTATTTGAGCAGCTTTCTCCAAGTGCTTGCTGTTAGCCAGGGCTCAAAGCAAGGCTCTTTGAATACACCAGTAAGCTTGGTAAAGTGGAGAGAAAATAATTGGGAAACCCAGGAAGGAAGGGCAATAATCCCCAATGCCAGAGGGGTTGTTTCATCAGCTGCCAGCTAAGTGTCCCAGGAGAATGTGCAGGTGCATCCAACACCTCTCAGTTCCTGGAGGCAACCCCTGAAGGATGCTGAGCTGCAGATGAAGCAGATTTTCAGAGGAGAAGAAGGGGGGTTGGGGACAAAATGCTCTGTTTAGAAACATCCTCAGCCTTTTTGAAGCTGTGCTCTTTGTTTCCTAGCGTCTTCCTGTCGGAGAACTCAGACCTTTCCTCCTCATCTTTCCTAACCTGAACATCCAGTTTGACAGAACATCAAGGAAAGGGATATTTCCTATCTGTCCACAAAACTAACGAAGCCACATCGCAAGCTATTTCTATGTGCTGTGTATTTATAAACCTCAGCCCTGACCCAATCAAACAAAATAGCTTCTAGTTACCACTGACTCAGGCCTGTATTCAAACTGCCAGCCTATTATTTCTTACTCAGGCAACACTAGTACTCAAAAATTATGTTAAACATTTCCCAGATGCAAAAACAATCCCTTCCCCAAAGAGCACAGAGGTGAAGGCACACAGCCAGCCAGCCCTCTCTTTTATTGGATAACATTTCTCATATATTTCATGAGAGCCAGATGGCACCATTTGAACAGCAGTGAGCCTGGAAGCCTTCAGCCACATCAGCGAAAGGGAAGCGTGACCCAGGCCTGGGCACGCAGCAGCTCAGCGCTGGAGCCCGCTCTGGCTCGGGCGGCGTGCAGCTGCAGGCCCGCGCTGCCCGCATGCAGCTGCCTCTCTGCGGGCACGGGGGCACGGCACGGCACGGGAGGGGTGGGCTTTTTTGCATTCAGGCAGCGGCGTCAATTTGCACGTGGAAACCTAAATTGCCACTGCTGACAAGTAAAATCCTACACTTCAGAGGGCAGGAAGAGTTTCCCCAGTCCGCGAGCTCTCTGGGAAAGGGAGGCCCATCTGCAGATTGCCTGAGAAAAAGAAACAGATGTAAAGAGAGACAGAGTGTATTCTAAACCCCCGCAGTGTGGGGCCTTTTCCTCGCAATTAAGTGAAGCTAATGGTTTTATGGAATTTGTTTGTTCAAAAGGCCTTCACTGCACCGTTTAATGGAGTTTCACCAGCAGTCCCCAAAGGCTTCCAGACTGCGTTAGTATCCCACAGCTCCCATCCTAACCAAACAAGCCGCCTCACCCTGGTGTCTCTACCCTGTATGTATGGAGTGCATCGGGGCTGCCGTGCCTCC